CACATTGGTATACAAAGAAAATAAATTATACTCGCATATAGGGCTACATCTCAGAGGGACATGCAGAATCCTTCAGCAATCTGAGTTTAAAACAAGCTCTCAGAAGTTTTCTGCTTTATTGCAGTGGTTTGTTTTTTTGCTGCTCGGTGCTCTTGCACATGGATTTTCATCTTTATATGTTTGTTTATTTTCCCTTATGAACTGATGTGATCGGTGTTGAGTGTCTCTTGTCATTTGAGCAGAATCACATTAGATCAACTTTATGAAATCAATAAATCTTGGTTGAGTCAGGATCAGTCGATAAAGGCTTTCTAATTATAAGCTCTGTTTCTCTGATCAGACTTTATGAATCATCCCTCAGTTATGTTTCCACAGAATCTCACATCCGCTGTTAGGTTAATGATTATACTGGCTTTCATGCTGATGACTGTGATATCCTGTTGAACACTGAGCCACGCCACAACACACAGCTTACATCAGCAATCCCTGTTAACAACTAAAACCCTAGCCACAGATATTACGATGGATGAAGACTGGAAAGAGGACATCTATTTATTTTTTATTTTTTATACACCATAATAATTCCCTTATGTGAGCTATTATATCAGTTTATTCTTCCCCACTCTCTTCTCTGTCGTTATCATCTGTTGAAGGGGCTCTAAATTGACATTTGACAATACTTTAATACCCAAAGAAACAGGTTTCTTAAGCTTAAATCAACACTGTTTCAGTGCAGGACATAATTCAGAGGGTTGTCCTGTTAAATGACTTTATTTATTTATCATCTTTGACTCTATTTTACAGGCAAGTGGAGAGATCTCTGTAGAGAATATGTAGGTGGAGATTTAATGGTTCAATATCAGCCGTTGTATTATATTAAAATGTCCAATGTCTGCTTGACAAATCTCTCTCATAATGTTGGACTGCGGTATTATTATTATTATTTAAAGCTTGAAAAAGGTTTGTGTGAGGAGAACAAAACTGCAATAAAAAAAGTAATATGTCTTAGCAGGGTTCTCAGTTGAACTGTTATGTTGCTGTGTGCTGGACACCTGACATCAATAACTTCAAATGAACATAAATATGATCAGAATAGCTGAAATTAACAAAACATTTTATTACATTGTATTTAATGAGAAACAAATATTCACCTTGTAATGCTTGTATATCCTGTCCTGTGTGTCAAAACAAAGAGAAGATGAAGAGTTTCATTAGGGTTAATTGTTAAATCGGTTTAATGTTTTCTGCCAATAAATCCAATAGAGGTTCAGGAATTGTGTTTAAAACTAGCAAACAAACACATTAGCTGCTCTTAAAGCAGGGGAATCGTTATCTTTCCAGTAAAAGATACAACAGTGTAAGCTTTCACTAAGTACACAACAAAGAGAGAGAGGGAGAGAGAGCGAGAGAGAGAGGGAGGGAGAGCACTGCTCTTAATGACAGTAAAAGCAAAGGACTATGGATTATGCAAAACATTATTTTATTGAAGCAAAATTAAAATATTAATGTTGTAGTTTGTAAAAGTGCAGATAATTGTAACTTTCATGTATTGTGTAGAATATCTACAAAAGCATCATATTTAGTGAGCTCATAAAAAGTATGCTCAATGACATATTTAAGCAGAGCCGGCCCGAACCCACTTAGTGCCCCTGGCAAGAGTTTAGCTTGCGCCCCTTGTAATGCTACCAATTCTACGACCAATCACAATATTCATACACTTAAAACGGGCATACAGCTTTATGTTTTACAGCTTTTCTTCATTTAAAACTGATATTTGTAGGGGTGGCAGTAGCTCAGTCCGTAGGGACTTGGGTTGGACCGGTTCGAGTCCCGGCTATCACGAGCTATCGTCTGCACTCTTCCCCCGAAATGAGCAGGTACAAAGCAGCGGTGTTGTGAAGCATCAGGTCGAGCAGAGAGCAAGAAAATATGGCCTTTTTTAAATAGGTGATGTAGTTATGTTGTATTGGCTTGTTTTGTAATAATTACTGAAAAATAGCATGACAGTTATATAAGATGAAATAACATTTAGTGATAGTTATCACATTGTTTCTTCTTTTTCTTCTCATCATCTTCAACTTTTCTTCCTCACTCTTTTCGGGTGCCTATGGATGGCCGGCGGCCCTAGCATTTGCCTATACTGCCTATGCCACGGGCCGGCCCTGTATAGTCTATACCATCTCAATGTTCAAAATCTCAAAGTATTGAGTAGAATAAACTGAATTCTTCTAAAAGTACTGTAGAATTGCAGAAGGATCCGTTAGTAAAAGTACTCAGGGTAGTTTAATTTCATGACTAACTGTGAAGTGAAAAGTGTGATGTGATTAATCCAACAATCATCTGCTGAGCTGAGTCAGGCAGATCGTGACACATCTCATCTCATTGTCAGTGTTAGTTACTAAATGACAGGGGGTCGAACCGTCTCCTCATACGTTGAACATTTGGCCCCTTTGTTTCTGTGAAGTGAACGCCACTGAAGATTAAAGTCACCGTCCACTGAAAATAAACTTTACAGTGACGCAGGGAACATTTAGTGTCCATCAGTTTGAGTGGAAAAATAAAACACGAGGAGAGAAGAGAGAGCTTTGTGCCATTTCTTTATAAGTTATGTAGAGATCAAACTTGTAGTATTGAGAATTATTTGTAAATTTGTGTTTTTATATGTACAATTTTCAATTTAAGAAATACATATAAAAAGGTTTTAAAAGTTGTTGTGAACAAAAATGGATTGACACCAATGATTAATTATCTGCTTTTGACTACTGTTCACTATTGTTACATGTTAGAAAGGAGTTCTGGATTATATCTCGATCTGCAGAGTGCACACTTCATCCTTCTGTTTAACTACCGTATATTTCAGGATAGTTTATACATGGGTACTAACTTCTGTTTTCTTTGTCCAATATTACAAATGAAGACATTATTGAGCACAAGTATTAGTAAAAGTAGAAAGCTCTGTTTATTGTTATTTGCAATAAATAAATAAAAAAATTAACCAGGTGTCGCTTTTGTCAGCCAAAGTTCGGTGAAAAGAGGTGGTGTCCATGCAACTTTCTCCCATATTTAGTACAACTAACACTCATCTTTGGTATTAGTTCAATGATTATTTTTGCAGTTAAACAAGTAATAATGCAATTTAAATTCATTAGAAAATAATGTAACCTGATAAATCTCTCATGTCAGGTATTCTATGTCAGAAAAATGAAATAACTTCTCCTGTTGTTAAAAGTGGTACTTTCATCACAGATGCAGCTCTATGCTTCCTTAATTAATGTTATTATATATTAATATTACAGGTACCCTTACATTCAGTTTATTTATTTTTTTAAATCAGATATATTTTGTTTTCCTCCTCCTTTCCTGTCTTGAAAGCCTTGACCCATAGAATAAGAATAACTCTTGTCTGGGGTGATGCTGAGCAGATTGCAGAACCTCTCTCCTTTCACTTGCCCTTTCCCTTGTGGTTATCAAGGTTTTGGTAAGTGTGCAGGCTGTGGGAGGTGAAGTATCTGCTGTCGTGAGTCAGGTCTTGGAGAAGAGAGGAGAGGAGAGGAGAAGAGAGGAGAGGAGAAGAGAGGAGAGGAGAAGAGAGGAGAGGAGAAGAGAGGAGAGGAGAAGAGAGGAGAGGAGAAGCAGTCGCTGCAGTGTGTGACGCTGCCTCTCCCCCCCTGGCAGTGTGAACACGCTGCGGCTGTCAGCCCAGCAGGAGGAGAGGAGAGGAGAGGAGTGCTGAGAGCTGTATGCGTCGCACACAAGCAGCTTAATGTAGTCAGCAGCCTTGGTAACCGGGTGTAGGCGTCCACTGCTGTTCCTCCCACTCGCTCTTGGGTAATGCCCTGGCCTGGTGGGGGGTTTGAGGGGTAGTGAAGGAGGCAAGGGAGAGGGGTCTGTTATGGAAAAAAAGAAGAGAAGAGAGCCATCAATTCAGCTACACCCCACCCTTACCTTCTCTTCTGCTCCATACTCCCTCTCTCCCTTTGCTCCACTCCTCTCGCGGCCTCCCTCTATTAAAATCCCATTCTTTTATAGTCTGGTAACCCACAGCAACGCATGGGGCCTTGTCTGCTAATGCGTGTGTGTGTGTGTGTGGACAGCGCCTGTTGGTACACAAAGGAGAAGGGCCCAAACAAGGCCGGCCTTCGTTGCCAGAACCTGATTGGTGCACAAAGGTCATCCTCCTCATGGACCAGCACCAATCGGTCCTGGAGGTCAGCTGACAAGTCCTGGCTCTGGATTTCTCAAAGCCTCACTAGAGAGCTGATTCCACAATAGATGCAGAACTTACACATGCACATAACTCTATGTAAATAAAAAAAATCTAATAGGAGTTATTAATAGCTTCCCTGTTTGTCTAGGTGAGTTAGAGAGGAATGAATGATTCACATCCTCCTGTCTCCTCCACCTCTTCCTGGGTTTCACCGTCCTGTGTCTGTTTAAAGCGCTGTTAAATCAGGCCACTGGTGTATCGTGTTCCTTCTGATCGCATTTCCCTTTCTCTGTGCTGCCAAGATGAGGCAGGCAGCCACAAGGTGTGAGGCCAAATTTTAAAATCTCTGGCACAGGAGGAAAAGTAATTTAGCCTCCCCTCCTCGCCTGCTTCGTCACAAGCTGGCCCTTCCTCTCTTGGATACACACACACATCACACTCTGATGTCTCAACCGAGTTGGAAGAGGGTAAAACTGCATATATGGCTGCAGCCAAGACATAATCTGGGTATTTTGTTAGATGGCATACAGGGTCAGTGTGCTCAATCATCATCACTCAAACTGTTTATTTTCAGGCTGTAGCTAAAAAAAAAACTGTGATTCTGTTTCAAATGTGCTGTCATTCCTGGAGTTTTCTTTGGAGTGAAGCCTATTTTATGATTTTTATGATTTAACTTGTTGCCTATTAAGAAGTATTTACACAGTCAATGGTGTTTTAAACGTATCATTTGTCTTTTTATGTGCACATTATGTTGTACTAAGTCCTCCTGCTCCATGTCTGTGTGTGTGTACAGCTCCTGTTCTGCACTCTCAACACCCACAAGATTGACATGGACAAGCTCCTGGGGGGCCAGATCGGCCTAGAGGATTTTATCTTCGCCCACATTAAAGGGATCAAGAAGGAGGTGGAAATTTACAAATCTGAAGACGCTCTGGGCCTCACCATCACCGACAATGGAGCGGGATACGCCTTTATAAAGGTAAGAAGAACAGAAGCCTGTTACCCTGCACACATTCACAGGTAATGTTTAGTTTATTTTCCTGAGTACTTTTACTTATTGGAGAAAAGATTCAAAAAAGAAATACATTGAAAAAATGTCCCATGTACAGAGGATATAGTCCTCTAAACGAATATGACCTGTGGCTTCTTTCCCGCATGTTGTTCCCAACTCTCTCTGCCCGATTTCTGACTCTATCTACTGTTATATCTCTAAAAAAGGCACAAAAACGCCAAAAAATAAACCTTTAAAAATTGAAACAACCATAAGTACATTTCATTAAACTGCAGAGACAAAGGAAATGTTTCATTCAATGTAACTTTTTTTCACATAGATTTGCAGGATAAGAAGCATACTTAATTAATACATGGGCAGGCACTTTTAGTCAGCTTTAAAAGACAATGGAATTACTCTTAAATTTATATGGAAGACCTGTCTTTGACCAGTATTAGATGATTAACTTTTTTCAGCCAAAGTTGTGTCAAAACATCAAGGTACTTTACATGTATACTTTTGTCATATGCAGGGAGCAGAGAACAATCGTTTATCCATGTTTATTATTATTTATAGGTGGTCAGACAAAGTAAGAAAAACATGTGATGGGGATGCTTTGTTTGATGCTTTGCCCCGACGGGATAAAGCCAAAAGTTGTCTCGCTGTCATTGATTAATCGTCTGTCCTGTAACTAAATCCAACAATGGAGTCATTCCTTCAGCCTTTTTTCATTTTACACAAAATATATTAAACAGTTAAACTAGTAAATAAATCTCAGGTTTGAGAACTGAACTTATTAAAGCTTCAGAGGGATTTTCTAATGCAATTTCAAAACAGCTAAACAGATTGCCATGTTCAAAGTATTTGTACAAAGCTGCTTTCATAAAAGAGAAAAAACAATAACTCAACCTGGTATGTTGCCTCTGTCGATGCAGACTGGTGTAATGAGCTTATTCGGTCATCTTTCTCCAGAAAAACAAAGTGCTCACGTGTGCCATCATGTGACTCCCAAACAGCACTGCACCCAGATAACCTGACACTGTTTACGACACGCTGAAGCCCCTTGGGTCAGTGTGGTGATGCTGTTGGATTACATGTACTGCTAAAAAGAATGCTGCTCCTTTAAGCTCGGCTGAGGTAATCTACATTTACAGAATAGCTTGAATGCATCTTTTGATGTCTGGAGAATAAACTCCTTTATCTCTTCCCGCATCTTATAAACAATTTAAATGTCTTGCAACCAGGCATAGTCCAGTGTACTGCAGCTGTTCCATCACATATGGACTACTTTTTAAGCCTTTTTTATACAGTAATTTGTCTGTGAGAGAGGTTTATGGAATGAACACTTAAGTGCATTTACAAGAAAAGGATAGAAAATTAATTTAAAAAAGGTATAAAATAATTTGTCTTCTCTTTACTGAGGAGTTAATGATTAGGAACTTAGCTTTTTATTTATTTATAAAGTCTTATCAGAAATAATCTGTTTGAAACTTTTCTCCACTTTTCACGGTAAGTGGAGTTTTTTGCATCTTTGGACTTGAAAACAAGATGAAGTGATCGTCTGGTATAACATAATGAAAGAGTAAATACATTAGACTAGTTAAGTATTGCCAAGAATGTTTTGTACTCGCGTAACCTCACATGCACTTTGTCACACTTTGCCTTCTTGTTTGATCTTTATTTTTGTCTTCTGCTGTTTGGAAACCCCTTCAAAAAACTCTTTTTGTGTAGCACTGTAATCTTGGCTTCTTTTGATGTGTTTATTCTAATTGGTCCTGACTTTTATGGCAGCGTATCAAAGAGGGCAGCGTTGTGGACGGGGTGAAGGTGATCTCTGTGGGCGACCACGTGGAGTGCATTAACGGACGGAACATCGTGGGGACGCGACATTATGAGGTGGCCCGCATGCTGAAAGAGCTTCCCAAGGACAAGGTTTTCACCCTCAAACTGGTCGAACCCATGAAGGCCTTCGGTGAGTAAGAAACAGGATACAGAAAGAGTGTAGGTGATGTAAAAAAAACATCAGCATCAGCACGTTACATAACTGACCCACTCTTAGAAGACGACAGATTCACCTTCAGCCAATGACAAAGACTCGCTTGCTGCAGTGTTTCTCAGCATGTGGGACTGCACAGCAGGGCTCACATCCACAGCATCATTTGTGTGAGGAAAAACATTCAAATGCATGTGCTTAGTGAGTCTAACCATACCTTTTTTTGAGACAGCACTGTTTCCATCAAGACAAATTACGGCTTATGCAAGCCAAAACTGGGATTCAGCTGTGTGAAATTGGCTTTAAGTAAGTAAGTAGTTTCCTCTTTGATTGACAGAAATGCTTGAGCCCAGGTCAAAGGGTGCCAAACCTGCTAGTGACAACAAGATCAGCAACGGGAGAGGGACTTTGAGACTTCGCTCCAAGGGCCCGGCTACTGTCGAGGAGGAGGTGAGTTTCTTCATTTGCATTTATCTGCATTATCTCGGGCGTGAGAAGCATCTGTTGGGCACTAAAGTTCCTTAAAGTGACCTTCTCATATCATTGACATTTCATACTGAGACAGTTTGGTTTTTAACCTTTTCACATTGATCTGTTGATGTAAATAGAACATTTGCATTTCCTTTGGTTGTTCTTAAAATCTTAATCTTTGTTGAAGATGCACAGAAGTTACAGACAGAAAAAAACTCACTAAAGATGGTGCATACTAATCCTTACATTTACATTTCCTTCACCGTCATGTAAATAACCAGAAGTAAATGTGTTCCCCTCACTGATGACATCTTGAAAAATGAATCAACGTCAGACTGATCACCTAATCTTACACAGTCTGTGTTGCCAGAGTTATATACCATCAAATAAAGAACTGATCTGTGAACTTGTTTTTGTTTCCCAGCCAACAGAGTTTGAGGAGAAGGCAGTGAAGAAAGTGGACGACCTCCTGGAGAGCTACATGGGCATCAGAGACACTGAACTTGGTGAGTAACAACATTTAAGTATCATTTATGAACTTTATTCTCTGTTTCTGTGAAACACAACTTCTACTTGCTTACAATGACACACGATGGAGTTTAAACTTTTTCTAACCCCAGAGGTTTAAAGGTAGCCTATATCTTTCAGATTTATTTCTCCTGAGCGGCCTTTCAGTATTCACTTTAAGTAGATTATCAGGTTGGTCCATATCTAGCTTCACACAAATTCTTTGGCCTCAGTTAGCCCTTTCTGTGACCTCTGTCTGTATGTTAATCCATGATTTATTCACATACCGTACTTTACCCTGGAAGAAAATATGTCAGCATATCGGCTAAGTTTTTAAGCACTGTTGCTTCACCCCAAGGAGGAGCTGATTTTTCTCCTACTACCGTATTTTCCGCACTATAAGGCGCACCGGATTATAAGGCGCACCTTCAATGAATGGCCTATTTTAGAACTGTTTTCATATATAGGGCGCACCGGATTATAAGGCGCATAGAATAGAACGTGTTTACAACTGAACAAGGCAGGGAGATATTGTGAATATATAAATATAGTGCATTCACAATAACTCAACGATGTTCAAACGTTAATGTGCATATTCACAATATCTCCCAGCCTTGTTCAATTGTAAACACGTAAAAGAAACACAGTCTGATACCGCTAATTCAAACGTTAGTGCATAACTCAACATTGTTCAGTTACGTATAACACGTAAAGCTCACTTTTTCAGTTCATTCCCCGTCCACGAATCCCTCGAATTCTTCTTCTTCAGTGTCCGAATTGAACAGTTGGGCGAGTACGGCATCCAACATGCCCGGCTCCCTCTCGTCATTATCCGAGTCAGTGTCGCTGAGCGCCGTGTACAACCAGTATGGATCAACCAATTAACCAATTGATCCATATATAAGGCGCTCCGGATTATAAGGCGCACTGTCGTTTTTTGAGAAAATTAAAGGCTTTTAAGTGCGCCTTATAGTGCGGAAAATACGGTACTTTGGATGAGTTGAGTAAAATGAACAAATCTCCTTCAGGGATAATTTAACAACAACAAAACAAAATATTTTATGAGTCTGCTTTACTAAACATGCTGGAGCCTTTAAAGACTATTAGAGGTTTTACCTTTGTATTGTTCGGCTTTGCCAAAAACATTTTAGACATCACCCTTTCTGACTTTCTAAATTAAAGTATTCTGTGGGTTAAAAAATTATTCTGAACTTCTATTTATTGCATACAAAAAAAATCTGACTAATACTGCATCTCTACAACCAGTTATCTTCTGCAAATAAGATAAGACCTAAATGAGAATATTTTATTTGCAAGATGGAGATTGGTAGAAATGTTGTATACAATAAAAACATTTTTCTTCCTTTCATTCAGACTTGGCTAAAAGAAATGGAACCAGAGAGTTTTGCAGTGGTCTCTTTATGTTTCCCGGATCTTTATTTTAGACATCCGTGAAAAAAATTAAGATTCAACCCACTGCTGAAAAATGGAACTAATTTTAAAAAAAAACAGTTAAACAAAGAGCCTAAAAGCTCTCAGTTACTCAGTAAAGTGTTCTGCTGTTTCCTCCCCAGCTGCTACGATGGTCGAGGTCGGCCGCGACAAAAAGAACCCAGATGAATTCGCCATGGCGTTAGACGAGACCCTCGGGGACTTCGCTTTCCCAGATGAGTTTGTGTTTGACGTCTGGGGAGCCATTGGAGACGCCAAGCAAGGAAGATTATAAGATCGCAATCGGCTTCCCCCATCCCAATAAAACACACACACACACACACACACACACACACACACACACAATCCTCTCCTTCCCCGAACTCACGTCTTATTATTCTCAGAAACAAACTGGACAACATGAGTGAATTAAGTTTTTATAAAGTGTTGCGTTGCGCTCGGATGGAGTGTCTCAAAGCGTCAAATTTGGTCATTTGGGTTTACAGAAGGAATCTAGCACATCAGCGTTTCAGTGAAATCTTGTAAAGATATCCATGAAATGTGGAATGCAGTTTCCAGCGTGAGAGCTGCCTCATGCTAAAACCTCTGAGGATTAATTCTAGATGTTGTTCAAACTTTTTGTACTCCACCTTTGAGAAATGGTCTTAAGAGTGATGCCGTCTGCTGAGCAGAGTCTAACCTGGTCTTATACACTGGTAATGAAAAGGTTTCTGCACACCTTCGATTCTAAACGATCACTCAGTTTTAATCTAACTTTATATCTGTGTCATATTAAATATACAGCTAAAGCACACGGCTTTTTATAGATTTTTTATATGTGAAATGTTGCTAATTTTATGGCAGCGACATGGTGTAATTAGTGTAATTATAGTGATTTATAGTGACTATATTTCTCTCTCAAACATCTTTTTATCTGTTTTTAAATGAACTAAGAGCTTCAGCTGCTTCCACATTTTAAAGTTGGTTTACTTTGTGATTTTTGTGTCCTTGAAAATCTCAGTTTCAGCCTTTTTGTGTCTATCTTTAAACCCTTTAGACGAGTTTGATCACATACCAACATTCCTTTTAGTCTCTCATATTGTTGAAGTCTGTAAACACTGTTAATGTCATGACATCCAACTTATTTAGAGACGTACGCTTATTTTTGTTCCTGTAATTTATTGTATCATGGAAAATCATATGCTGTAGCAGATTTTTTTTTTTTTCCACTGAGAGGTGGCTCGGTATGAAAGAAAGGTCTTATTGTAACTGCACTATTTAAATCACTGTCAAACTGAATTTAAATAGTGAACTGATTCATGTCTGGTTCTGATGCTGGCTGTTTGCAGCCGTTTCATATTGTTTGACACACCATAAGGGATCACTATTGTTGGATAGACAATAAAATTTGATATACTGTTACTACAGCTGTGTCGTGAATGCATCTGGCTCACAATGAAACGACACATGACTTAAGTAGAACAAACTTTATTTGCACACTAGGCTGTGTACATGTAGAAAATACACCAAGACACTTTACCAATGTTTTTATCCCTCATTTAAAAAATATGAACCAAGAACTTTACGAGCAGCAAAACAAACTCAGAACCAGAAAACACAGTCGGGCAAATAAGCACGTACACTGGCAGGAGTAAAAGAAAGTGTATAATAGAAATACGGTTATAGTAAATGTTAAATACTGACACCATAGAGTTAAGACTGTAGAGGATCATTGGAAGCACATCACTGTAGGTATTTAAATATGTATTCTGAGTAACATGAAGTATTACTGCTGTTGGGTGAAAACATACTGTTACTGGTTAGTGAATCAAACAGTCCTCTCCAAAGATAAACCTTTCTATTCTTTAAAACCTCTGTGTTGTCTGGTGAAAAACGAGACAGCTTACCTGTTAAAACTTGGCATTATCCAGGTGTGTCTGACAACAGCACACAGGTGTGTAAGTGAATAACTGTTAACTTGGCTTGCATGACTTGGTTGTATCCTCTACAGGCAGTAAGTACAGTACATGGCACTTAATTACTTACAAATATACATGTTTTTAAAACAATGACAGGAACATGAGTACAGTAATATCAGAAAAAGAAAGGTATCGAACAAAAAGAAAGACTCAAGCACCGTTTTAATGGTTGGCTTGGTTTGCTAAGTGAGATGGAGCCTCACTGTCTAAAGTTACAGTTTAAATAGAGAGTGTTTGGGGGTTTTTGGGGAGATGTTAAAAGGGTGGTCTGCAGCACAGGCTCAGGTAGAGGAAGTGTAGCCCTTACAGCCCGATGCCCGTCTCTGCATCCTCACAGCTCGTCTTCTGCGTGACCCTGCTTGAAGGCGTCGCCTGTCAACCTTTCCTGAGCCTCCTTCATGCCAGATATAACTGAGCGGGAGCGAGGGAAACAAAGTCAGAGGAGACAAACAGTGATCATCAAATACATCAAATCCAAGTCCAGCTAGCATTTTGGAAGACACAGCTGCTAAGGCAAACAGTAACAGAATACAAAAAGAGCCTGAATCTGGATGTTTACCTTGGTCTGCATTGCTGTAGAAGTACTTGTAGTTTGGATTGCCCTTCTTGTTGGTAATTTCAGAATGGACTTTGCCGCTTGGGTCTGCGAGGGAGCAAAATGAGGCAAATATTAACTTTGATCAAGATTATAACTGATCCCAAAAAATATAGGGCTTGAAGGCTCAGGTAAGAACAAATTAAAAGCTGTTTACAAATCCGTTCCCACAGTTCACGTTTCCTCGACTGAGCGTGTGGATTTGTAAACTGTCTCATATAGGGTTTGCACGTCTGTGTGCACAGACCTTCAGCGTGCAAACAGATTTGTAAACAATGTGAATGGATTTACAAACAGCTCTTGACTTTTTTTCTTACCTGAGCCTTGAGGGGGCTCTTAGGGCTTCAACTAGAAGTTCATTTCAATATGAATCAATCATTACGTATAAGGGCGGAATATTTAGTAACAAATTGTCCAAAACAACAAATGACGGATCAAATCGAGCAATTCAAATTCAATATTTTGTCCGGGCAACTGTCCAAATTTCAAAGATAATCAATTATTGTTATCATTCATGACTTAAAAAACACCAAATACTAGCATTTATAAAACCAGTCATTTATATCACTGCTGCCATAAAAGACACCATCATATAACTGTTACTAATTACTCATCTGTATTTATTCATATCATTCTCTACTATTATTGGTTTTATTTCTAGTCAGTGGGGCAGAAACATGCAGCTGAAACTGAAATCCTGCCCACTGAAACACGATGTTATCAATACAGGAGTAAGAGTGCAATCAGAGTCTGCAAAAGAATCCCACACAGTGTTTACATGAAGCCTGACTCAACCCCCCCCCCCCCTGTACCGAGGAAAAGAATCCGAGGAATGTATCCTCCATCAGGGGTCAAGGCATCGTCTTTTGGCTCCTCGTCGTCCTGTTCACACAAAAGATAACTCGTCACTTACAGGCATGGGAACACATCTCACCAAGCTGATTAGAAATGTTTGTTGTGGCTGCTTGAGCTTTAATTCACAACACAAAAAGTAATCTACATTTTCTTACCTCCAGGTTGATCATAACAAAGTTGTGTGCAAGTTCAGAGATTTCCTTGGACTCAGCAAATTTGGGCTTCAGTGCTGATGTTGAAAAGTGACAAAATACAATCGATTATTCTTCTGTATCACGATCAAATCCAGGACAAATCGTACCATTACCATAACGATACTTGCTTTCTTGATATTTATTCAGATGAACTTTATCCCAACTAGTTGTATTAATCATGTCGGGTGTAGGATCGTCTTACTCCAGTTTATTTGTCTGTATAGGATCGGGTCTATCTTGAGCTCAAATGAAAGCAGACATTAAAGTTGCCATGTACTGCAGTATTATTTCTCTCAGTATTATCTTGCACTGTTTTATTATTACAGTTGCAAAGCAGGCAGGTGCTTTGAATTAAAGAGGAGTCTTATTTAGTGTCAGTGTACTATAAATAAATATATATATATTAATTTAAGGATGACTGCAGGTATCTTGTCTCTGAGGTCAAAGAATCAAGACAACCACGTTTGCCTGCTTTTAAGGTCAAGTGAAGACATTTTGACAAACAGGTTGGTTTGCTTGTGTTGTCTATCTTAAATAGACCACATGGGGCCAATATTGATGGTATGGACACCTGTGTTGTTGTTTTCTTTTGCTACACTGACTCCTGATTTCTCTCATCATTGTCCTTTAAATTTCTCCATGTACACTGAATGAATTGGTAAACTTAAGAGCCTCAGCACTTTCACATAAACGTCCTCACAGCAATCTCAATAGTTGAATCTATTCTGCATTGAAGAGCTCCTCTGATGGTCTTATTTCTCAAGTTTCAAATGAATTCTTTAACTTAAGTTTGTTTGTAAGCTTTAAGATATAATGAAGGGAAAAATATAAAAGAGGGTGTGTTGTATTTCAGAAGCTAAAAAGCAACATGCTCTTTATTTCTGCAGTCTCACTGAATTGTTCTGACTACAGGGAGTTATGGCTTTAATATCCTACTCAGGATTGGAACTCATTTTTTATTATTACTAAAACAACACTGTGACTGTGACTGCAGAATAACACAGGCTACATTTATTTGCAAAACAAGATGGCCTTTGTCATGTAAACATTTGAGTATGGCACTAAAGCATTCCCTAATGTTTCTATTCAGACATAACTTGACATGACAGATCAAAATTAGATGTTTTTTTTAGAGTGACAGGGCGAGGCTTTGTTTTACCTTTGCAGGCTCCACACCAGGTCTTATGGATGATGAGCATGATTGGCAGTCCACTGAATGCAAACACATAATAAAAACACACATGTAAAGTATGAAACTAAGCAAGGGAACACAAAATAACTGGTAACTTAAACTTTACTTTTCTTGCAACTGTAGTCACCTTAATTATACCCTAGGAAATGAATTATCTTTTAAAACAAACAACAGTAATACAAGCTGCTGATATATCAATGAGTCAGCGTTCTCCGGTTATTATTCCTGTACAAGACGTTGTTTGTTTTAGACCTCTGGCTAATAGTTGTTCAGAAGGCAGCTCAGCAGGTTTAAGTGTTTCAGTTATTTCAGCTCGAGGTGTGAACTCACCTGGCCTCTGCTTCCTTCTTGCCATCTTCCAGCGTCCTCCAGTGGATGTTTTCTCCAAACCCTGCCGGAGAACAAATGAATGAGCACACCAGGATTGAGTAAGTGAGATTATGTTTGTACTAAAGGGTGGGTCTGTCTTAGTACTGTAGCAGTGTCAATACAAAGAAGTGCGAGGAAACTGTGTCAATGGTTTGTAATTCAATATCAAGCTCGAGGGAAGAATCAGCTCTGCTCTGTCACCACTCACTTTGTAAGGTAACAATGTGATCAATGAAATCAATACAACAATGCAGTGCTCTTGTTAGACGAAGAAAGCTTTCAGTACAGAGCCTTATATCAGGTTACATTTCCTGATGTGACTGCTGATGACTTTCACATGTTTCTTATCCACTTCTGTAAACAGATTTTGAGTACATTCTTGAGTGAAAGCAATTATTAAGTCAGTTTTTTCATTTGAAAAATTCCCCACTGGGGATCAATGAAAGATTACCGGTATCTTATCTCATCTTGTTGCTTCAAAATAAAACACAGAGGATGCAACCCTAATATTCAGATTTACAGCGTAACATGATTTTGCAAGTAGTAGTACAGAAGTAGTAGTACAGAAAAAAGCTATAAGAATTGTAAATAGATCTGATTATTATGAACCAACTAACGCACTTTTTATTAACATACACGCTCTAAAATTCAGCGATCTAGTAGATCTACAAACTGCTCAGATAATGTACAAGGCACACCATCATTTGCTTCCCAACAGTATACAGAAACTAAAGAGAGCCGGTATGAACTAAGGGGAATAGGTTTGTATAAAAAACCAAAGGTAAGGACAAAAATAAAGAAAAGGTGTATTTCGGTAAAAAGTGTTAATTTGTGGAATACTTGTGCCATGGAATTAAGAATGTGTAGTTCACTTTCCAGATTAAAATTTTTGTTTAAAAAAAATGGTGCTTAAAAAATATAAAAGGTCGGTTTGATTATTTTTTGTGAGTGTGACTTCTGTTTCGTTTTTTGTTTGTTTTGAAAGAAATTCTTGGAAAAATTTTTGTAACCAAACTAGTAGTGTCTTAAATAATATGATTTGTAATAAGGGTAAGTGTAATAAGATAAAGCTTCAGCCTACACCTTTTCGGTCAAGATGTTTTTGTTTTTCTTGTGACTGAAATAAATGATTACTACTACTACTAATAAAACCAACGACACAAACAAAGTATTGAAGTACCTACAATGAAAATGACTGCGGCTAAAGTTTCAGTTTCAATGTGTGCGACTTCTTTCTA